CTAATGCTTCTGCTGCTTCTACTCCTACTACTACTTCTATTATTACCACTGCTACTGCTACTACTCCAACAACTGCTACTGCTACTGCTACTGCTGCTGCTGCTGCTGCTGCTGTTGCTGCTACTACTGCTACTACTGCTACTACTGCTACTACTGCTACTGCTGCTACTACTACTTCTACTTCTACTACTACTACTACTACTACTACTACTGATACTACCAATGCCGCTACGACTTCTACTTCCGCTGCCGCTATTGCTATTACCCGGATGTGTTTACTAATATCGCTACTTTTTCAACGGCCCTAAACCCTAAACCCTAAACCCTAAACCCTAAACCCAAAACCCTAAACCCTAAACCCTAAGACCCGTTTCTGAAGCCCTGAGCTCCCAGCTTACACCCTGGAGGCCGTGGCTGCTGACATGAAAGCTGCTGAGGCCGGGCTCTCAAGAGAGGGTTTTAGGGTTTAGGCTGCCTAGGACTTTGGGTGTGGGGGTTTACATTAGAAAGTTTTGAGGCTGGGTTTCGGTCTTTACAAGATTTTTTTTCGGGGGGTTTCTGCTCCAAGCAGCCCCTATATTATTGGAAGTCCAGGGTTTCAGGGTTTCAGGATTCCAAGGTTTGAGATCTATTGTCAGAGAACCTGACAACCCAATAATAGGAAGTTTTGGGTATTACAATAGTAACCTTGTAACGTAGACACCGTATAGTGGCAACCTTATGATAGTAGCCTTCTAGTCGCATCTAAGAACAGTAGGCAACCTTGCGGTGTTTCACCGGTTCTCATGGTTGACTCCAGCGCGAAGGGGCCAATAAAACCTTTATGTAGACCCTCACAAGACCACCCACGAACCTAAACCCAAAACCCTGAATCCTAAACCCTAAACCCCTAAACCCCTAAACCCTAAACCCTAAACCCTAAACCCTACCTCCCGTGTGGCCGATGCCTGAAAGGCTCGATGTCAACAAGCCGAAGCGAAGGCAGGGTTTCAAGGTGTAGGGCTTTGGCTTTAGGGATTCAGGCTTGAGGGTTTCGAGGTGTACCAATACCAACCTCTTTAAGCAACTAAATAAGGAATCTGGAACGGTATTTTTGGTGCTGAAGTCGGTGTTGGGGTGCTTCGTATGGGGGTTGTTAGGCTTCAAAGGGTTTGAAAGCAGAGTGTATACCGGTTGTGTATGCTCTTCATATGGGTAGTTGTCAAAACTATGGTCCCTTTTGGGGTACCCTAACTACTTGGTGCCATATTATAATAAGGACCCCAAAAGGGAATAATTTCGACAACCACCCATATAGGAGCCCTTCAAGGAACCCTTACTGGAACCCTTAAAGGAACCCTTCATATGGGTTTTACCCTGCAACTGGCGGCTACTCTAGATTCCTTTGGGGGCCCATCAAGGGATCATGTTCAGGTTCTATGAATATAGGGTTTAGGGTTTAGGGTTTAGGGTTTAGGGTTTAGGGTATAGGGGCCTTAATAATTACCTATATTGTTTTGGGGGCTCCTTATTATAGTTAGAGTATAATAGACCCCAAAACCCTATTCTAATTGTTAAGGCCCCTACATTAGGGCTGTCGGGCTTGTCTTCGGGGTTGAGGGATATAGGGGTTACAAGAAGGGCTCAAGCAGAGTGACTGCAACGGTTACTTTGTAAAGCGGTGTGCATGGGGTGACGGGGGAGGGGGGTGGGGGGGTTGATCAGCGGTTTGGGGTTTAGGGGTTTGGGGTCTATGGGTTTTGGGTTTACGGCTTGAGGGTTATAGGCTAGGATCACGTATGCTATCTAGCTCTAGTAAAACTTGTTGTTCTGAGACTTTACATGATATGTGGTGCTTGAGAGGGAAGTGTGCAAACAGAACGATCCGTGCAAGGAGTGAAGTGTCTAGGGTTTGGGTTCATGGCCCGTAGTGTGTAACTTTTAGGGATTGGGGCAGAAGGATATTTTTCAGATGCTGGGCACCTCGTGCAACTGTGCTGCCGACTCCCGTTGCAGGCCCTCTTACAGCCCAACGATACCTCTAAACCCTGAAACCCTAAAACCCTAAACCCGAATGGTGGTGGCGGTGTAGGTAGTCGTGGTAGCAGAACTCCGAAGCATCAGAAGCAGCAGTGGCAGCAAGTCGAAAAGCAAGGCACAGTTCATCTTCCAATCCTTGTGCCGTTTTGGGTCCGTTCTGTTCTCCGCTTGGCCAAGGCCTTCCATTCTCGCTTCCATTCCTTGTTGCCTTTGCTTTTTCAGCCGTTCAGTCTCCGTTCAAGGTTCCATCGTCGATGTCCCTTCCGGCTTTCTGTTTCTGCTTGTACCGTGCTCCGCTTCTGCGCAGGCTTGAACATGAATCGGAGCCCGAAGCAGAAACGTTCCAGCCCCAAAGCCCCAAACCCTGAACCCTAAACCCTAAACCCTGAACCCTAAACCCTACACCCTAAACCCCTAACCCCTAACCCCTAAACCCTAAACCCTAAACCCTAAACCCTAAACCCAAGCCGACGAAGCGCCCTAAGACGCCCGCCCCGACCGAGTAAGCTTTCAGAGGTGAAAGCAGCTGGCTCGGCCTCGAAGTTCTTCGGCTTCTGAAAGGGAGACTAAGTAGTTTTAGGGTTTAGGGCTTAGGGTTTAGGGTTTAGGGATTTAGGGTTTTGGGATTTAAGGTTTAGCTCTAGGGTTTGGGGTTTAGGCGTTTAGGGGTTTAGGGGTTTCGGGTTTAGGGTTTAGGGTTTAGGGTTCTTGTTTGGGGTTTACTTGGAGGATCATGGGACTTAGTCACTAGGGTTATAAATAAGGTAACTACAATTATAACCCCAATTAGGGTACTTATAACCTTACCTACTAAGTCCCATGATCCTCCAAGTAAGTAGGTTTAGGGTTTAAGGGTCAGGGTTTAGGGTTCAGGGTTTAGGTTTTAGGGTTTAGGGCTGAACGTTTATGGCATTCATGGTGTAAGGTTTGGGGTTTAAGTAAGGTTTAGGCTGTAGGGTGTCCTCTGAATGTATGAGGGGACCTGCAGGTACTGTTGTGAAGTATTAGGGCCCCTATGTTACGGGAGTTAAGGGGTGTAGTGGGGCTTAGCAGGGTTCTTTGGGGCTTGTATAGGAGTCCCAATCAGGGTTTCATAAGGGGCTAATAAATCCCGTCCCAGACGGGACGATCATAGGATCCGACTGTTAAGACCTTTAAAGATCAGGGCCCTAGTCATCATGGGTCCGTACTATTCTACGAGGTCATGCGTATGACTTGTGTAGACTTTCCTTTGAGTTATGTCGTGTGGATTCCTGTATTCTGCTCTGGGTTTATGCGTTTGGGTAGCATTGCTCATCAGGCTTTCAGGCTTTCTTGAGCTTCTACCGCAGTGCTTGGAGGATGCTACTGTTTCTGCTTTTGGTTGAGGTAAGGGTTTTGTAACAGTTCCATTGGGTTCTATCAGGTTTTATTCGGGTTCTATCAGGTTTCAAGGGTTTGTGGGGCTTTCTGAGATTTCAAGTATATGTTCTGGAGCTTCGGGACTATGGACTTTGGGTCAGGTGTTATGCGACTGCTGTGCATACGGCGTAGTGTAGAGTTCTCAACAAGTAGTAACTGTCCCCCCTATGGCCCCTGCATAGCTGCCAAATCGGAAACCCAACCGCTGTTCCATGTTGTAAGACCGTATGCCAGAGCCCTTTGAAACTCGGCAAAACCACCTATGAGGGCCTGTAAAACACCCCATGAAACTCCATAAGAGCTTCTTCCCGCGAATCCAAACCTGACACTTCCCCGAAATCCTGACTTTCACAGTCCACCCTAAACCCTAAACCCTCAACCCTAAACCCTCAACCCTCAACCCTACACCCTAAACCCACCTACTTAAGCCGAGCCATCCTATGGGCACCAAAGTCCCAATCCTTACTTACACCCTGAAACCCCTAACGCCTGAGACACCTAAACTTCCTAGAATCCCTCAAGCCCCAACCCCTGTAAGCAACCTTTATCAAAGTGCACAAGCTCTTACGGAACACTTGTCAGGCTTCCTAAACCCTAAACCGCCCCTTATGCGCCCGAAGCCCTAAACTGGCCCTAAGCGCTACAGCCCTGAACCCGAAAATCTCAAACAAAGGCCCTGCACGCTAAACCCAAAGCCGTACACCCCAAACCCTAAACCCTAAACTCCCGTTACGCAAGCCCGACAAGCCCCCAGCGCACTCAAACCTAAAGCCTTCAAACACCTCACCCCGCCCCCCCTTAAAGTATAAGCCCTTAAGCCTCAACCCCAAACCCGAGACCATAAGCCTCTAAGCCCTGAGCCCTCAACCCTCAACCCTAAACCCTAAACCCTCAACCCTAAACCCTAAATCCTAAACCCTCAATCCTAAACTTAAATCCTAAACCCTCAACCCTAAACCCTAAACCCTCAACCCTAAACCCTAAACCCTAAACTCTCAAGCCCTCCGTGCCCTCTTCGGGACAGGCGCCAGAGCGACTTCCTCCGCAAGCTTCGGGATCAACTGAGCGGTCTGAAGGTGCTCGGTTTAGGGTTTAGGGTTTAGGGTTTAGGGTGGGCGCTACTTGGAGGGTCATGGGACTTAGTAAGTAAGGGTTTAGGGTTGAGGGTTTAGGGAGTAAGGTTATAGGTACCCTAATTGGGGTTATAGTTATAGTTACCTTATTTATAACCCCAATTACTAAGTCCCATGATCCTCCAAGTAGAAGGCACTTATTTGTTTCATTTATTCATGTGTCTTCTAATTGTGTCGTTTCGTTGAGTTTTAGAGTTTGTTGAGGGAGGGGTTTCCCAGATCATTTTTACAGCAGGGTTTTGCTGAGTTTCCTGATATGGGGCTGCAGCAACCACGCAGAAACACCCCAAAGCCCTAATCGAACTATTCAGAACCACATACTAAACCCTTATAGTAACCCTTTACAAGGAACCCTTGAAGGAATAGCCTAGAAATCTCTAGTTTTCCCAAGTATTAGGATCCTAGGGACCGGTGGTTTTTGGTGATGTGTCCCGTGTGGTTTCAAGTTGAAGGATGAGCTTGTGGAGCTTTTAGGACCTTGGCATTGGACGGGTTAAAAGTCTGTAGTTTAGACGTTGAGACCTACAAATCAGTGTGGTGTTTAGAGTTTGTTCAGGCTTTGGGGTTTGACCTAAGCTCAAAACCTGAAACCCAAAACTCTAAACCCCAAGCCCTAAACCCTAAACGCCAAACCCCAAGCCAGGAAAGCCAGTACATTCCCGCCTTGTGGGTTCTATCTTCCTTGAGAACGCGAGAAGTGTTAGGGTGTTTTGGGTATATTAGACTGTCACAAAAAATCAGAAACCTCAAGAAGCTTATTCTGTGTACCAATTACTACTATAGCCGTGGTTGGGGTGGCTGGTGCGGTGGTCGCCGCACTGTGAATGCTGGAGCTATAGTCATTGGTCTCGCTGTTACTTTGAACATATTTTTTGGCGATTAGCGCGTTTTGCTAGTATCATTGTTCTTCATAATAGTCTTCTTCTTACTGTCATCACTGCCATCTGGTGATATCATGAACACTGTCACGACTACTGTAGCTTCCTCTGTAATACAGGGGCCAAGATTTTCCAAAACTCTTTTGTGGTCGCTTGTTATGGCTATCGTACAGTATAACCCCCCTCCAAAGCCTGTTCTTTTCCGAATTCCTAAACCCTAAGCCCCAAACCCCAAACCCTAAACCCTAACCCCAAACCCTAAACCCTAAACCCCAAACCCTAAACCCCAAACCCTAATCCCTAAACCGCAAACCCTAAATCCTGAACCCTAAACCCTATCTTCGTTTATGTTGCCCTTTTCATGCTTCTCGGCCTGGGGGAGTCAGGGAGCTGCTGAGAAGGATTTCAGCTTCGGGCTGCACGGGAGCTTCGGGTTTTAGGGTTGAAGGTTTCAGGGCTTTGGGTTTTGAGGTTTAGGGTTTTGAGTTTTAGGGTTTTAAGGTTTAGGGTTTAGGGGTTTAGGGTTTAGTGTTTGAGGGTTTAGGGTGTTGAGATGCAGGGTTTGGAGGTGAGGGTTTTGGGTTTCGGGTTTAAGCTTCAGGGCATGGGAGCTTTTCTGCCGCGTTTGAACACCCCAAGCATCTGACAGGTCAGACCGAGATTTGCAAAACCAGCATGTGCGCATAAGATCGATCGCAATGATCTTGAATCCGAAATGCTAGCAGGTCATGCAAGGTTACACGCCGTCATGGAGCTTTTATAGGTCAACGGTTTTGGCAACGGTTGGTTCTTCTGTTCGGAAAGATACTTCTCTCCGATCTTTGCAGCCGCATTCGTCGCCATGGGGCAGCAGTGCTGTGGAAATGGAAATCCCACCGGCTTCAGCGGCGCGAGCCATGAAGAGATGCTCAAGGCCTGCTAGTGTTCAGGGTTACGCAGTGATCAGGATGAACCCAGAGAGCCCAATACCCCTTAATTAAGGAATATGCCTTATATCAGAATATTAAGGCCCCTATAATTTAAGGTATATTACTTATTTAAGGGGTATTGGGCTCTCTGGGAACATCTAATTAAAGCCCCAAGCCCTCGTGTGATCTTGTGCTTCTTCTTCTGCAGATCTGAACCCATCCTTGGTTCCAGAATGTAACAAGGATATGACATATCCCAAAGCCCTATTCAGGGCCCGCCCCCCTGCCGCCACATTTTTCGCACGTTGAAGTACAAGCCATTGTCAGCCCATAGGCCTTAACGCCTGAAGCCCCAAACCCTAAACACTAAACCCTAAACCCCCAACCCCAAACCCTAAACCGTAAACCCCAAACCCTAAACCCCAAAACCCTGAAGCCCCCTGAGCCCCGAGACCACCCCAAAGATCTGAGCCCCGACTCCCCTTCACACCCCAAGAGAAGACCTAAAGCTCCAGATCCCGAGATAGACATCCCAGCCACCCTTGTTTAAACTCACGGAAAACCCCCTAAACCCTAAACCCTAAACCCTAAACACCCCTCTTGCAGCAATTCGGCGACCTCAGCGACGATGCGGCGATGGCCGCAGTCGTTGCCAGTCTGGCTCAGATCACCGAGGAGCACCCTTACCTGAACCTTGCTTTGTTTAGAGTTCAGCCCTAAACCCTAAACCCTAAATCCTTAACCCTAAACTTCGGGTGTAGGGTTTAGAGTCTAGGGTTTAGGGTTTGCGATTTTCGGCTGCAGGTTTTTTGGGGGATGGGCGCTTAGGGCTTTTTGCTCACCAGAAACCTCGAACTGCTTTTGGAAGGGGTGGGGTTTTGTTGCAGGATTTTGGAATTCGGGTTTCAGGTTGCGGGGTGTACTATAGGGAGCCTAAATAATTACCAATACTATTTTGGGGGCTCCTTCATATGTTTGTAGTATAACACACCCCCCAAAACCCTATTCGAAATATTAAGGCTAAACCCTAAACCCCTAAACCCTAAACCCTAAACCCCTAACCGCCCAAAACCCCATTCTAATTATTCAGGCCCCCACAGTACTTGGAGGATCATGTGACTTAGTAAAGTAAGGTTATAAGTACCCTAATTGGGGTTATAACTATAGCTACCTTATTTATAAGCCTAGCTACTAAGTCCCATGATCCTCCAAGTAACCCAAAACCCTAAACCCTAAACCCTAAACCCTAAACCCTAAACCCTAAACCCTAAACCCTATATCTGTAGTACGGACCCCCGGGGGTTTCATGAAAGTTCTGTTCCCGAGCTCGAGGTCTGAACCTGCGCGGCTGTGAGGGACGTTTGGGCTTGGGGTTTAGGGTTTACAGGTTTTTGGTTTAAGGTTTAGGGTTTGGGGTTTAGGGTTTGGGGTTTAGGGTTTAGGGTTTAATTTGGAGTTTACGCCTTCCAGGTTGTTTGGGGGAGGCGGGTTTCCTGAAACTAAACTTAGTCATGGCTAGCTGTAGTCCAACTTTACGTAACCCTCAACCCTGAAGCACCCTGAACCCTGAACCCTAAACCCTAAACCCTAAACCCTAAACCCTAAACCCTAAACCCTAAACCCTGAACCCTGAGCCCTGAACCCTAAGCCGCTTAAACCTGGGACCAGAACTCAGAATCCCAACTGTGCTCACCCCCGGAAGGCTTCTTTTGAACCACCCGGATTAGGGTTTAGGGTTTAGGGTTTAGGGTTTAGGGCTTAGGGTTTAGAGGCCTAAATAATTGCCACTATTAGGGTTCATTATTTTGATTCTACTATAAAGGAGCCCAAAACCCTTTTCTAATTGTTAAGGCCCTTACAGTACCTACAGGCATGGTCTGGATAATGAGAGTTTAGGTCGTCTTGAGCTTTAGGGTTGGTGTCTGGTGTAGGATCTGACCGTGGGCTTAGGGTCTCTGGGTTTGCGGGCTTGGGTTGATGGTCTTTAGGGGAATTCACTTTCTTTTGACTGTTTGTGGGTTTAGGGTGTAGGGGTTTGGGGGTAGAGCCAAGTGCGTGAAACCGCTTCGCTAGTTGTAGAAGCCAATGCTATTCCTTCGGGTCCCCTTTGTAATTCTAGCAAAAGATACACCAAACTCCGATTCTATCTATTCTGGGCCCGAGTCACATTCTGCTGCGCAAGCCCGTTGTAACAGGTGTTGCCTCAGCTCCTTGAGACTTGCAGAAGGACGGTAAAATCACACAGGCCAGAATGATGAGCAGTTTTATCCCCAAACAGTCCCTGTGTAAATCGGAGTGCGTACCCGAACCCCAGTTCAGTGAAAGGGCTCCTATAATACTGTGATGTTCATCTCCGTAGCCTTCTGCAAGTACCTGATCAACAAGTAGAAACTACTCGTCAGCTTCCCCAAAACCCCAGTCCAAGTGCTTCGGTCTCAATAATACCTGATGTTGCCCTCAACCTGGAAACGCCCAAAGCCTGTGACCCTAAGCCGCAAACCCTCGACTCAGACCTCAAACCTAGGGAGACACAGATAATCACAGTCACGCTGCTCGCAAGCCTGTCACAAGCATCAGATGCCTCCACAACAGAGAGGAATTCAAGGAAAAGACTGATCAAATAAGGATACGATTGCGCGAGTGCCTTCAGGAATAACTTTCTTAACGTGCATAGTAGGGAACTCTCAAGGCAACCTGTATTCTAGAATCGCTATGGGTATCCCAAGTACTTGGAGGATCATGGGACTTAGTAACTAGGGTTATAAATATGGTAACTATAATTATAACCCCGATTAGGGTACTTATAACCTTACTCCCTAAACCCTAAACCCTAAACCTTAAACCCTAAACCCTAAACCCCAGACCCGAAACCCTAAACCCTGAACCCTTACTAAGTCCCAGGATCCTCCAAGTAAGAAGAGCCGAGGAAGCCGATGGGTACTGAGCCCATGCCACACCAGCTTCTGTACTGGGTCAGGAGGCTCGGGCCGGGGCTTCCTCTAGGGTTTAGGGTTTAGGGTTTAGGGTTTAGGGTTTAGGGGTTTAGGGTTTAGGGTTTAGGGGTTTAGGGTTTTAGGGTTTTAGGGTTCCTTTGAGGGCTCCTTTTGAAGGGCTTGGTGCGGAGGCCGTAGCCGTTTGGGCTGGGTTTTGGGGTATA